AATTTACACAAACGGAAGCCTGCAAATGCAAAGAAAACACTTTAACAGATCTGAAAAAATCAATTTGTACTAACTAAAGTAAGCCAAAAATCTAGCACAAGAGCTGACCTGACAAGGAAATATTTGTTCTCCCGAGACAAAAATTTAGCTCGAGGCATATGTAGCTTTGACAGCCTCAGCTGTAGCAGACAGTCCAGACCAGTTCAGTCTGTTGCCTAGGTTGGTCTTATGAGACTGAGTGTAAGATAACACTGACACAGCACCCAGCCTCCCCTCCCTCATCTTGGCCCACTGGGGCTCTTTCTAGTCTTCCCCAACCTAAGCAGAATCATAAAAGAGCTATGGATGTTTCACTGCAAGCACAAACTTAAAGCCTCGTGTGAAAGCGTGGTTTGTCACCTCTAACAGCTGGTTAAGGACACTGAATGCAAGCGGGATACTGTGCACTTAATCTCCACTTCATGTAGGACAGGATTAGAGGCTTTCATTTTAAGACTATGACAGCAGGGGGAAAAAAAACACAGTCTCTTCAAAGCATTTCCACAAACTGAATCACAAGAACTGCACAGGACTTGGTTATACAACTACATCAAAACACACCAAGCACAGATCTTCATGCAAATTTATTACAAAAACAGCAGACAAGCCCCAACACCAACGTAAAACTGAATGAGTTGTGTCACAGCTATAACCAGGGTAACAATCAGCAGGTAGTAATTATGCCTTTCCCTACATGGCAATCTAGATAAACAACAACATGCACCAGCTGTGGGAAGGAAGCACTTCGCTCTTGTTTGGCAATGGAAAAACACAAATGTCCCGGGGGACAATCCAAAAAGCATGCTGCAGAATTTTTAGCAGTACAAACAAGCGTCTCACCTTAGGACCTGCAGAAGCCCAGGTGTAACAGTTCCCGGACGGATAACCCCAGTGCCACTTAGGGTGCCGAGCTGAACCTGGAAGACGGGCCGAAGAGTGAGGCCAGAGGACTGTAACCGTGTCTTCAACACCTCCAGGGGGCAGGTCACGATGGCTCCCACCGTACCACTACACCTGCAAAAAGATTACACAAAAATTACGATTATGTGCATAAGCAATATCCCACTGGCCAATGCATAGGTAATTCAATGTACTATTATATGTATTATTCGATCAACAGAATGTTGTGGTCCTCTTATTTCAGAAGTTACTCATGAGCCTTGACTGGTGAGACATTGTTCAGTCAAAGCACAACTGTGGAGGCTCTGGCCAAGTGCAATGAATTATTCTCATCAAAGACCACTGTCTCTTTTGCAGTGGAAATATTCTGAGTTGACCCTACACAGCTGGTGCACAGTGTTTTCCAGCTCAGTTATTCTATTTGCATTTAGAAAGACGTGTGTGCCCGAGGAAAGACTGTCTTTGGATAACACCTTTCCAGGTTCAGCAAAAAAGTCAGTTAATTCAGATTTCCCACAAACTCTCACAGGTACATTTCTTATTAACTGTGTCTGCAACCTTGTCAGTGACAAGCTTAGAAGTCTGGAACAGATTAGAGTAAGCTTCTGTACTGTGTCATGTCTGAAGGACAGATCAAACATCTTAGAAAGTAACACCTGACCTAAATGTCAAGCCCACAAACTAATCATGTGCCTTCCATCCACCACTATCTGGTGTTCTGTATCTGGTGACTGTTAGAAATTACACAAAATTAGCTTCCCATATTACATAACTAAATCTGACAAACAAACACATGTAATTATGTTGAAAAAAATGTGTTGTGGGGTTGTGGTGGGCATGACCACTGCCCACACAAATACGCAATCTGTGGGTGCAATGGGTGCAATGGGTGCTTGTGTGAGCCCTCTGAAAATGACAGGGTGTGTAAAACTCCATTGCGTGCAATAAGTATTTATCCTATTAAACATACTATTTAACATCATGTACTGTCACACATGTTCAGTTGATTTTCCAAATAAGCATTTGCTGCAGAGTCAAAAGCCAAAATGCCCCCTATAACTTCGACATACCACATATAAGTAAAACAAAAGTGGTAAACATTCCTATGACAACGCTATGCTTTTGACTGATGTTGTATTTTAAAAATCACGAGCTCTCGTCACATGTTTCCCACTTGACGCTAAAATTGGCCTGGTCATAACATTTCAAGGGTAAAATGGCGTCATTTTTAAGGAGCCACTGTTGTTTAAATGTGACCTTACCGGCCACTGGGTGCACCTCGCTCGCAGTGATAGCTCCCCCCTCCATGACATTACTTAAGGTTTACAAATACTATTCTTCTGCCAGTTGCTGGCTTCGGTACATGGAGCTGGTTGGTGGCAGTGTTACATAACATCTAGAGAACATCACTAAGCCATGGGCTAACGGCTCCCATGACTGCGCCACGTACAGCTGCAACGGCGATGAGACACTCAGCAAACCACCGACCCACGGTGTCGAGTTACACATTATCCACATTTTTCACATCATGTATTAACCAGATATCACCTTTTGCTTGCTGTATGAACTGGACCTTTAAGACAAAAAAGCAGCTAAGTTTGATAACATCCCGCTAGCTGACGGTAACAACGGGAATTAGCAAACTTCCGCACGAAAGTAACGTAAGTTAGCCGCTCCATAGAAATGAACGATGTTGCTGGGTGCTTCGTTGTCGGTGGCAGCGTTGGCTACGGTGTTAGTTTAAGGTGTAAGTGGTTGACATAGATAACTCTACGTGTAACAAAACGACCACTGGAGAGAAACAAAGTGAAGAAACTCGTTTACAATTCAAACGTCGTGCTAATTGCTAACACGCGCTAGCTCGCCTTTATGTATTTTAGCATGTTAGCCGGCGGCTCCTTAACCTGTGAATTAAAAAGCAAATTCTCTTTTGTTTCACATGCGGTTCTCGTGGGCAAGGCTAGAGTCACGTTTTCGTGTTACATCAGCCATTTTTAGTCATATCTATCCGGTTTGTAGCGGTGTTGTAAACGTGACTTACCCCCCGGCGAAGAGATGTAGCAGCGTGTCTTTTTGTGCCATCGTTCTCTTCTTTTAAGCAGCCACCATACTCTTTTTATGTGTAAAATTACCCACGAAGTAAATTAACAGAGCCTCAGTGATGTGATCCCAGTAGGCTGCCTTTCGTTCGTCCGTCCGTGTCTCTGTAACCGGCTCGGTAAGGCTGTCACTGCGGGGCGGAGTTGCACGGTGGCCTGAAGAGAGCCTCATCTGACGTCAGGGGGACGGACGGGGGTGTTGTCCGTGACGTAAGCCCATGTGCTCTTCAACCTCCTGCCTTTAAACTTATTTCACCGTGTTACACAACTGTAAGCCACAACAAACAGTAGTCCCAAAAACAACTCTTTGAACTTCAATGTCCCCCCCGACCTTCACCATTTTCAATATAAAATGGAGAATTTAATGATTTACAACCCACGATTTAAAATGCAACTTGGTTATATGAGCAAGGTCGAAGTTGCATATTTTTCCCCCCATGTTATTTCTGCTTAATCTGATTAAATACAAACATTGTTGGCATTTTGCACCATTTGAATGACAATATCATCTCAGAGACACTATTCTGCATCTTGGTGCTTTGGGGATAAGTATTGTTTCAATAAATTGTAAAGTTAAATACTTTTTCCACTGCAGCTGAACAAAGAAACATAGATCATATGGTGGTTTGAAAATTGGTAATCTTTAATGAGGATTGTCATAAAAATGACAAATGTCTTAATTCTTTTAATTTCATGTTAAGAACAAGGTAGTCAATGCTGCTCAAATATCAAGTGTCCGTGTGTGTTATGTGATGCAAAGGTCATCACATAGCTACCATGATGGTACATTTAGATCTGCATGCTTATCCAGAAGTAGTTATATAATACGTATTACCCCTTGCCATATTACCTATAATTGGGCTGTTCCAACTCATTCTGATAAGAAACAAATATAGGGACATTAAAAAGAAAAAAGTCAAGATTAACGACCCAATCTTCTTCTACAGGAAGCACACAAGAAAACAAAGACCTTTGCTATAACTGGTGGCAAAACATGGCACCATGACTGTTAACTGTGCCCTAACGAACATGTGATATTATGGTATGTGCTGCCCACCAGTGAGTGGTGTGTAATAAAAGTTGGAATGTAAACCCTGTTGTCACCCCGAGGATATCTACGCTTCAGAGAAATAAGTTACTCAGTCACCTTGATAACAGCCTGTTTGTCTGTATGTCTGGAAAATAACATGTTTGAGTGTTGAAACCTGTCAAACCAGTAGAGCATGAGTTTAACCAATCTGTAATCACAACATGTTTTTCATCCTCCCATCCACCGTTTTGTTCTGTGCTTGACACACTATTTCACACACACTTGACTGTGTGAAATATTGATATTGTTCACTTCAGTTTGTTCCAGCATGTTTATTTCTTTACTGTGGGGTGGTAATATGTAGAGTAACACATTATTTAACATGGTTAGGATCTCACAATTGCCAATGTGAAAAGTCTAATGCAAACTTCTGTCAGTGAATCCACATCTGAGGTGGATTGACTTAAATTCATGCAAACATAGTGTATTTTAGTATTGCCGGTATTGTTCTATAGTAGTAGAAGTCATTTTCTCAGCTTAAGTATAATATTCAGGAACTTGCACTATACAAACCATCCACCCATTAGCTATATAACTAACCTGTGCAGGGTCATGGGGGGCTGAGGCCAGTCTCAGCAAACAGGGAAAGGGTGGGGGTACACCCACTACAGGTCACCAGTCTATGGGCCAACCTCACATCCAGAGAGTTTAGAGTTGCCAGTCAACCAAGTGCACATGTCGTCAACGGTGAAAGAACCCAGAGAGAACCAACACAGACATATAGATGGTCTTAGTCTGATTGTCAGTTGTAGTCAGTTCTTGGCTCTAGACAGCCTAAGTTGGTGCTTAGGCTGTTGAAAAGCAAAGAACAGGCTCTGGAACCAGCTCGGTGGAAAAGGGGTAAGGGAGAACATCCAAACTGCACACAGAAACGCCTCGGGCCTGGGGATTGAACCCAGAAACATAAATCTGAGTCAACAGTGCTAACCACTACACCAGCATGCTACCTTGTACTGTACTGTGTTTTTTGGCTCAAAGAGGTAGACTATTTGTTATCTCACAAAACAAACAAAGATAAATAAGCTTGTGCTGTAGAGCTTTGTTTTTTATCTCCGACCCTGCTCCATTGATCACCTCATGACCTATTGACTGGAATAGGTGTTTGTAATAAATTGCAGCTTCAAGTTGAGACATTCATTTCAGCAATCTCTAATGTCATATCTCATACTTTTATTCTGGTCCTTATTTTTCACACAATACTTCCTCTGTCTTGCTCAAGTAGGATTCTGAATGCAGGACATGGACTTGTAATGGAGTATTTTTACACAGTTCTGTTGGTACTGGCTCTACAGTGAGGCTGAATTATCGTGACTGGTCGTTGAGGTTATGTAACATGTTGCAAATGCTGACACCAAGTGACTAAATATAAAACCTGCTGCACCACAGTCCCTCATCTCTCTAACAAAGGAAATTCACAAATACTCAGAATCTTTTATACATTTATGTATTTATTTGTTTGTTTGTATGTTTTGTCCACCAGCTGTATTTAGTTGTATTCATCGTGTCACCTCCACATCGTGGTGTTGTTTTTGAACCTCTGTCCTTGTTAAGTCTTTCATGTGCAGTTTGGATCCCGTTGGGCATATTTAACAATTTGAGAAATCTTCCTGGGTTCCTTTGAATCTGCTGCTGAGCACAATGTTTGTGTGTCTGTGTGAGTGAGGCCTTGTCTTGTTTTGTATTTCACTGTAAGCCTGCAATGTGGTGTACTTTACCACATCAATGTCAAGTTTGTAATAACATTTAATTAGCTAATACACTTCAGTTGTTGATTAAATTCTGTGGTTGTTTTTGACAAAGCCCAAAGAATTCATTTTCACTTTTTTATCCCATTTTTAGTTTCATAACATTTTCAGTGTGTTGAATATGCATAAAAATCCACAAACAACAACATGCTGAATAAGATTTCTGACAACTTAGCTGGGCTAGAATATAGATGTGTGAGTGCTATGTGTGTAGGGTCAATGCACTCACTTCGTCCATGTTCCTCAATGACCTTCAGAGGGAAGGAGGTACATTTGGGAAACATTAAAACAGGGCCCACTTATATTTATGGCCAGAAAGTTCAGGGTCAACGGATTCATGGTCTCTGTATGCTGTGGCTAAAATAGACTTTGTCATGGTAAATACTTTGTGTTAGTACACAATGTCCATCTCTGTGTACAAGGAAAGGGATTCACAAAGTAAAATCTCCATCACCCTCACAACTGGCAGATTCTAGTTTGGTTCTGCACATGTTTGCAGCTATTCAGATTGGCTAAAGCTCTGATCAGGTTTAGGGACGTCAATGAGTACTGGTATGTGCTACCCCAAAGGAACTTTTCACAGCAGTCTTTTGTATTTGTCATAGTGGGAAAACCAGGTGTTACTAATGACACTAACATTGGCTCCTCTTTGCATTATTTAAGCTTACCTGTATTAGCCACGGCTGTCTGATAGGTGAGCTGACACTGTGAAAATGAACCAGCTACATGAAATCTGGCCATAATACAATTTTATTATTTATGTTAGATGTGTGATATGAGAAAATGTCTTCTGTGAGAAAAAGCTTATATCCATAATCAGCCTGTATCTACACGCCCTGCTAGCCCCGAGCTGCAAGTCTAACCAGGCCTCATAAGTAGAAACACCTGTGTGGGGGGCTGTTGTATAGAGATGTCAAATACAATTTCTATCCAGTTATATTTCAGTAGAAACTTGTTTCACATTCACTCCTCCTGGGGGAGTGCTGGATTCTCAAACCCTTTTAGATTAATTTGTGAAGTAGTTGCACGTTGGTGTTAGTTACCAACATGCAACTTCACCGTCATTTTTATCCCACTTTTAGTTTCATAACATTTTCAGTGTGTTGAATATGCATAAAATCCACAAACAAAAAACTCCTAAATCATTAGGAGTAAGTAACTGCATCTTGAAACAACTGAACCAAGTCCAAAATACAGTATTTTGAGTAACTTTTGAGTTTAAGTTCAGTAACATGCTGAAGACTCAAGACTTTAAGTTCTTCCCAGTGAACTGGTGGATGCATGAATAGACACATTTTAATCATCAATATAATCTCCCTCCAGGTTCAACGTTACCTAAGTGATTTACGTATACTTCAGGCGTTGACTCTTTAAAATAAGTCTTGAGGTCGTTGCAGCATTTAAGTGGATTGCTTTTAAAAATTTAATTTTTTGTCAATCCGACATAACCTGATGTCTGGTGATGTTTTTACATGATTAGACTACTTTACAATGCACAAAAGATAATTTGAAATAATCTTTAATAGATACTTACAAACAAATCTACAACAGGGAGTACAAATAAAATGGAAGCTGCAAGCAAGGAAAAGCAAGGTGTGGCACAGTGTGTCCGCATCCAGCTGAGTGCTTAATGTGAACCACATCTGCACATTTAAAATACTACAGTCAACAGGTCTATGATATGGCATTTGACAATATGTTGGCAATCTGACCCTCTTTTGTTACATTTGTGCAGCACTTTGTGGATTGTCTTTTTTTCTGCCATTACTTTGCCTTAAATGTGTGTTGATTGAAGCACAACACTGTTTACCTACATAACCTGCACCCCGCCCCCACCTGTCCATCTCATAAAACACAAGTACTACATCAATGGTTCTCAGCTATGTGGCAGTGAGACCCAAAAGAGCCCAGGTTTCCATTGCAACCATGACTCTGTAGCGGCTATTTCACTGGTTGATTTCCATTCTCTGGCTTAATATGTGCAAACAAGTGAAATCAGCCAACAAGACTGGTTGAATTAATAAAAACCGCTCTCTTGGGCCTCAACAGCATGTGGTTGAAAACTACTGAACTACAAAAAGCAGGTGTGATGAAAGATTTAAAAAAAAAAAAAAAAAAACAAGGAAGAAAGGAAAAGACACTGTATTGAGAAAAATTTCCTGCAGGTGCATGCTACAAATAATCACAGTGGCATTATTCTCCTGTTAAAATTTCTGCTGATCATGTTCCTGCCAGATGCCTGATCATAAGCAACGGGGCACATGTGTATCACAGAGAAAACTGATAGTGCAGTAGGTGATGGGAGCTGCTCCTCAGCTGCCTCACAGTGCATTCACCCACAATGCACTTCAGATTCACAAAAGAGAGGTTAGTATCTCATTTCTGTGACATGTGAACGGAAAATTTCATCCATTTTAAAACTACATTTTCTAAAAGCAATTAGGTGTCATGTTATAATTCTCAATTTGACTGGATGTACAAGCTGGGTATGGGATGCCACCTTGTGGTCAGATACTGACAGTGCCTCGGCACCATGTTCAATTTTCCATCTCACAATTTAGTTTTTTTTTTTTCTTTTGCACAGTAGAATTTAAATTTAAAAAGGCTACAAGATAGAAATTAGTAATCATAAAGCCTGGAGGTCACAGCAGAGGTACTGACGACTTACAAACTGGAGGAGGTACACCAATATGGTGACTGTCATGGCATCGTCTGGATCAGCATGTGCATAGTGCTCAGTGATTCCTGATTTTATAAAGTTAGAGAAGACAACTGCAAAGAGTCATAAAAACAGGATAAGAAAATCAAAAATGAGTTCACCCACTGACACAGAAAGCAGACTTGTTGAATCATTCATGAGGCTTTGTCAGTCCTGGACGTTTCAACAATGCTGTCAAACGGGTTCAACCCAACGAGGATCCCAGAGAAACAGAAAGAGACTAGGGTGTGCTGTGTATGTTGCAACTGTCAGCGGCGTCATTGGTAGAGCAGGTAGTTCTTGAGAGAGGCCGGCAGGGGCAGTCTATGGATTTCACTCAGGCGATCTCTTCCTAATGCCACCCTCACCGAACGCCTACACAGGTCCATCAGAGAGAGCGGTTCAGCTGGAGGGAGACGAGAGAGGAAACGGCATGAGAAAGAGCATTTCTGTTATTTCATCAATGTGTGTCTGTAGTCTTAATGCAAATCTGAGAGGCTGCGTGAGTGTCTGATGGGTCATGTCCATTAAATGGACTCTGTGGCTCTGAAGATGGAAACTGAACAGCATTATGACCTCTGAGAACACTCAGACCTTTGTGTTATGATTTACCATTTCTCTGCATTCATGTTGTCCTCATTTGATGTGATAAATATCACATTTTAACTGAAAACTATTCTGAACTAATAAAATGGGCAAATATATTCCCACAGGGTGGTATCAAAACATCTGGATAAATGAAGTTCCATCTACTATCCATGTGTGGTCTAAGGACAGTATCAGAGTACTAAATGAAATCCAGCCACTGTCTGCACTGCAGTGAACACTGGGAGCTAATTTGTTGGCTACTAATGACTTCAAATTTATCTTCTTGGAAAAATTATTATTCTAGGAGAATTTTTAATCACCTGTTCCTCACTGCGTCACTGGTCAAATCTAATCTGTTTTTCTGTCTTTTTGTAGATGTACAAAAAGGGCCACAAAATAATAATTTTATTCAGTCATATCGCTTGGCTGCAGTAACAAGACTGTGTATCCAAACAACCACATCATTAATTTCATATTGAGACTAACTGAATTTAATATCAGTACACAAGATAAGGGATTTCCCTTCTCCAGGGCCAACAGTAAGAGCAATGTCATATCGAACTGAAACTGATTTTTTTGTGCCTACCACTGCATCTGTAGCGCTTCTTTTTCAAAGACCTAAAAGTAGGTCAAGGGATCCGAGCTGAACATAAAAATCTAATGAGCACAGAGCACTTGGGACATGTGGGCAGTACAGCATGTTTTGATAAGCACCTATGTTTCCTCATTGAAAGCTCATGACCGTTTGGAATAATTGGGATTAATTCAATTGGAATCATTTTACATTTGTCTGAGGGGAAAAACAAGCAGCTTGTTGTTTTGTACATGAACATTAAATAACACTAACAGCTATGAAGGCGCCACAGCCTGTATGAAAAACAAAGGAAAAGTACAGTTAATGGAAAAGCTATGA